ACTGAAAACGGAGACTTATTCAAGAATAAACTTAATATCAGGGATATGATGCATAGTGAATTCTGAAAATGCTCGTTCGGATATAAAAGCAGCCTCTCTATTGGTCAACTTAATCGCCTTCCAGTTCTCACACGGTTAAAGCCTGGACAATTCTTTTTGCGAATTACGGCACAGTTCGGGACAGGGAACATGTCATTCACGGGAATGGCGCGAATTCTGGGACACCCTGTATAGTTTCTTATTAGTCAAGAGACGAAGTTTCTGGCAGGATGTCTTCTTTTAAACACTCCCACTGTCGTTCTTGCGCACACAATATTAGAAGACAAAAGAAGAAAACGTCTTAAATATCTTAACTCTTTCAGGTTTGTATATACTTCAATGTCTATCTTCATGGTTACAACATGTGAGTATTCAAATTTACATTAGATTTTGTACATGACCGCCTTAAGAAGCTGTCGACTTTATGAGGGACCAAAGCACAAGGGTAGTTTCAAATCTGCTGTTTTAAGTTTATAATACTGTTCTTTGAATTTCAAACAAAATGATTTCGATCAGAATACATCCGATTTATTAATAATTTTTGATCAATATCATTTCGATTCTCATTTTATTATATTTTAAACATTCTAACCTAGAAACTCGAAAAAACTTAAGTAACGAACCTTCAAAGCAGTACATAATTTTAATCCGTAAGACTTAGAAACTTCTAAAAACTTATAATTAAGTTAGCTCAGTTATATATTGGGAGAACGATTCACTATCAATATTCTCATGTAATTAATTTTGAGTTTATTATTGTTATTCTGAATCAAATCGCATTCGTTTGTATGATTTAATCATTTAATGCTCAAGTATAATACACCGAAGTCCGTTTAACACTACAAAAATTTAAAACTACATAAGGAAGACTATGACACACCCAAAGGTAATAAAACATCTGATTATTAACGGTGATTTTCCTTCTTCTCTTAATACCAGTCGAAGTAATCCCAAGTTTAGATATTTAGATGTAGAGCAAAATGGCACACTGAATGACATATCAATTAATAAAACATTAGTTTATCTAAGTGATTTATTATGTACTAGCAGCATATCAAATAAAATACATAATCCATTTTTGAGACATTTCTATATAGGAACGAATTTGTGGCTGAATAATTTCTTCAAGTTATAAAACGATAACCAATTGTAATTTTTTCTTTATTTTTACCACGAGGAACTCGTCAATTCGTGAAGTTCTTGAGAGTCCGTATATTGAAATGAAAGTTGATCAATAATCATTAAGACATTACTTAAAAATGTATGTGCTTGATATAATTTTATTACTACGGATATGTAGCAATGTAATTGAAAACACATTGTTCGCGATTATCCTTGAATCGTTCCCACCCACATCCCACCACTATGATAAGATTTCTGTCCTCGAGTGATGCGAACAACCTGAGCCTCAGTCGAACACTAGTCACAAGTGATGTTTAACACAAGTCAAATACATAAACCAATGCAAACTTCATAATACAAGTCAAAATCTTGGTCGTTCAATTCGAATCAAATCAACTAAATCAATCAGAAACAAGATAATTAAATGAGGAAGTTTAAAAAAGATGTTACAGTTGTTTTACATGCCATTTGTTCGCTTATTTGCGTTGAACGGTACATTTTTCTGTGAGGTAAGAAAAGTCAGGTTATGTACTTCACTTCATTTAGGTTACAACATGCATACTGGATTGTTTTCTTTCGCTATCGCTACTAATCGCTTCTCTGCAGTTGTGTTCCTTTGTATTATTATTTATGGATTTGCCTTATCACGAAAAAACATGAAAAAGGAAGTTTAAACCAATCGCTAAGAGCTTCAAAATAAGTATACGATAGAATAACCATCAGCAACGATTAAGAACATCGAGGTTATTTGAAAATTACACGATAAATCACATTCTAACTTATTCAACAATGAAATTTATTTATACACATATAGTTACAAAAAATCAGTTGTAAATACATTCCTGATCAGTCACAACAGTTTCACAATTTTAATCATTCCGTTATATGTTATATTACACACCGACACCTCTACTTTTCCGTTTTGTACACTATTTATAAGAATTAATTTTTTTTTTAATCAATTATCACTCGAGTTCTAATCATCTCTTTTCTTTTGTATCGGTTTCTTGAAAGGTTCCTGTTCCTTTCCATAACGTAGAAAAAATAATGTAAGTATTGTGCACATCATCGTTTTAAAAATGGCGACGTTCAATATACTACCAACATCTGAACATCAATCATATAACATTATCCCATATCATATACAATAGCGCCGTGTTTTTTTTTTTTTATCTAATGTTACACGCTGCCTCGCTGATCCGTGTTGTTGTTTTCTTCCCCAATGAAATGCCTATTGGTGTTATAGTCATCCTTTCCCGTACTGAATTATTGTAACCTATTGTCGTTGACCTAAGTTCGAGCTTTTTGTTCTGATGAAATATTTTATTGGAATTTGTTAGAAAATTCAGTATAAACGTGCTCAAAAAGTGACGTCACAAACGAACGACTACGTATACCGTCTAGGCATGCAAGGCCTGCATGTAAAAGAAGCCTGACTTGATGTGCATGTGGAGACGATCGCTGTAACACTTGACAATTGGTATTGTAACCTCAGAATGCAAAATCCACGTTTAACGACAACTGAACAAGTGTAAATTGCTTTTGTCTCAAGTAACTGTCAATTTTCAAAGTTGATTTGAAGAAAAGAAGTTATCTTTTGAGAAGAAATTTATTCAAAAAATTTAGACTTCCGCTCGGACGCGTAACCTTAGGCATGCCAAGGTCTTCCTAATACAGAATATGCATGGATTAATGCATAACATTTTAAACAGAATTTACTACGCAAATTTTGAGGTGACAACATCAAACTATTACAGTCAAAGCGTGCGTACATTTCACTGAATATACTTCTAGACAGTGTATACAATTACTAGTCTGCTACTCCAAGCTTCAGTAACAGGAAATTCCACAATTTAGTTTGTTCCTTGTAAATTTATTAAACTCAAAAAATTCCATTATAACTTTTTTTTTACTTTCACCTCACGAAGATATTTTCTAAATTTATACTGCGGGATTTTTTCAATACTTTGTTTACATCGCGTTTTGGTCCATTGCAGGTAAATTGTACTAGTACTTAACACACTCCACACAACAATAAATAATAAATCCCTCTAAAACATCAGTAGAATGTGAGGTTATGTTACCGTGTGTTCTTTGGTGCCCAGTTTGAGTAAGCGGGAATTGTCCATATATCGACTAGTAAAAGTTTACATATTGTCCATTCTGAACACATTTACTGCGCAAAATTCTTGATTTTTAAGGTAAAAAAACTGAAGGATTAATAAACCCCAAATAAAGAGGCGAGACATATTTATTTTATACTGGAATACAATATTTAAACAGAATTACCTAGCAAGGTTTGAGATGACGTCATCAAATTGTTGATGGGGATGAACACCCACATTTTGGTGGCATTTAACCATCTGTACGATAAACTTAAACTACATTCAAAATTCCACAGCAACGATGCAGCAGTTTCGAAGATTTTGTTTAATAAAATCGCCAACCAACAAATATACAACGTTGAGAAAACATGAAATTAACCATTTGTCAAATGAATACTTTTTATTACAATAAGTTCCTAGTTTATGCTCGGGAAATAAAAATAGGCACGTCCGAGCAAATCCAGTTAAGACCTATTTGAATGAATACGCTGTCGTTACAATTGAACAAATACCATGTGATCGGAAAAAATCCTCTGGTAGACCATGAAATTTATTTATAATATGATGATGTTGACAATACCAAGTTGTCCTTTATTTAGTTTGACAGTTATGGTCAAATCACTGTCAAATATCGGGTCAAATAGCTGCGTTGCCAACATCATTATTTTAAAAATTAATTTCGTGGCCGACTAAAGGACTCTTTTTTTCAATTGGGTGGTAGATCAAATATAAAGGATTATTAAATGGAGCAACTTTAAAAAATTTCAAGTATTAATTATTTCGCGCGGATGTGATTTTTATTCTAAATTTATCAAATTATGCGTACTGAAAGAAAACCCCCATATATAAGTTTAGTTTACAAGTGAACAGCAGTATTCAACAATCTGAAATGATCCTTCTGCATGAACTTGGTCGAGTTTTTGTAGGAAATAAATCGACTGAAAAGTGAAATTCAAATGAAATTGAATTGTAGTTATTTTTGTATTTGTTCGTCACTTGGTAGACCCATTGTAGGTCGAGGATGACACATTTGCAACAACGGCAAATGTATGGCTTTTCAATAAAAATAATGTACTAATGTTTATATCCACAACACCGATATTGTCATTAAAGGGTGAACGGTTTGTTTGTAAAACTATCAAGTACAGCTGGCAAAAGAAAGTGAGGTTATACTGGTTAAAATATTGGACATTATGTACGAATGTGTACTTAATTAATAATCCGTATGTATAGAACTGAGCAGAGAAATTTTGTTTTCTCAAGGCGAAAGCGACCTGAAGGGCGGTATTTTAATAGCACGCTGTTCCACGTATAAAAAGTAATTTTCGTGAAAATCGGTGTCGAGATGCTGAACTAAGCTTGTCCTCACAGATACATCTGAGCATTTGCACTATTAATCGATATTTATGTTGTTAAATCATACCGCCGAAGTCGGAGTCTGGACGATCTCTTAAAAAATGCACCATTTAAAACCGTTGGAATGCAAAAGGGAGGGTCCAACGCATCCCGGAACGATCAAAATAACTAACGATTTTTTTCTGGAGCAAAAGCAAAATGGACCCGGCTTTCGCATTCCCGTCCTAGTGTACGACCGGCGGGAAGGGCAGCCGCCCTCAGGAGGGCCAAAGGGGCGCAATTCCAGTGAACATCCACCGAAAATGCACGCTACCCTTCAACCGCCATCACTCTGCAGCAATGCGAAAATACCGGGAATAAAACCAAACTCAGCCCTACCTTAAACCATGGGCCTGCTCCTCCGGAAGTGCCGCACTCTCTTGCAGAACCAAACCGATCTTTCTCAGTTATATCGCGTAAAAAACGACATGTTCCGGAATACTAAACAAAATGGTTTCCAAACCACTTTGTGTAAAGCAGCTGGGTTGGCGGCCACAAACTCGGCCTCAACTAACATCGAGGCTGCCGTAATACTCGATGTTTTGCGGAAATCATGTTCTCTAAAGTGTGATCTTTCACGAGGTGTGGTTGATTTTCGTTGGGAGCTTCTGGTTTTTTCACAAATAAATATCAAAAATGCTTGCACATTTGCTAAGCGTGCACAAGTACGCACTGGTTACAAAACATCTGCCATCTGTACCGGGCATTGGCGCCAAGTAACGCGCCTGCGCACATCGGCTCGTGTCAGATGTTTTAAGAATATTTTCATTTCTTACCTGTGGGATTCTGGAAGAAATTTTGCGTTATTTTTGTGAGGAACGATTGCAGATGCTGGATGTACTTTTCATTTTATTGAATTAGAAGGTAGATGCCCTCGAAAGTTGAAATATTTCTTGCTGGTGTGGTGAATTTTGGGGGATCTTTTGACAGCGACAAGGACAGAGAATGTAAACAAATATGGCAGTTGCAAGGCGGGGGAATCGAAGCATAAATATCCAGATACGGTCCTTATGTCATCGTCTTCCAGGGGGTCGCCTGTCAATTGTTTGTTGTTCATGATGCCGCAAGATGATAGTAGTTGCTTCACTTTTTTATTATACATATATTTAGTACGAAATTACTGTCAAGGTTTTTAAATCATGTACTTGATGTACAGGTTGTTCATGAGAATATTTTTTATATTTAAATTATTCATGACTTCATCGGCAAAAAAAAAACCTGGGACACAATTTAATAACTAGATAATCTTGGAAATTAAAAATCTAAAACTGTAAATTGAATTCTTGTCAAGAAGATATTTTATGACATGTAGTAAGCATATTTTGATTGGCTTTTTAAAATTACAATTTACAATGCTAAAATTTTCAGTGTTCCGGTTTTTTATTTCCACCGATGGTATGTAAGAGCTAACAGCACCAACCAGAAAGTGTACCTACTAACTTATTTGTAAAAAAAAACTGTAAAAACTCACCTCATTTATTTTTCGACATCCAAATGACTAGTTAGAATATAGCAAGCAGATAACAGTTCATCATATAAAATAATTACTACACAAAAATAAAAATAGAGTGAGATTTAAAGTATGGCATAAAAATATAAACAAATAAAAAACCAAGCTCAGTCCCTTTTTCTGTATTCATTGATCGATTAAAGTGAAACTCACGACTGACCAAAGTTTTATCGTTCCAATTCTGCTTTATATTACAGCTTGGATTCAAATGGTGAATGAAAATAACACTTTTAATTGACTTTTGATTTTAGGTTTTAGGGTACTATGATCCAGTACTAGTCCAAAATCTAGATTTTTACACAACATTTTCTTTTAAATGAAACCACATATTTTTTTTATTTCTTTTTTTTGTAAATTTAGTTTGCATAATACAATAAATCAAGATTTTCCAGTAAAAACAATCTGAAATTTCTATTTCACGTTAAAAATGAGTTATTAAGAAAAAACTTCCCTCGTCCCTGAAATATAGTCAAATTTTTTAGATAAACTATAAAATTTGATTTTTGTGAATTATATTTTTTTCTAATAACAGATTACGAACATGTGTGTACGTTTTCGTGAGTTTTTCATAACAAAATTTTGTGATGACGTGATCAACTTTTTAGCAAGAACACATACCAGTTTAGATAGGTAGTACACTTACATTTCCAATTTTTCAGGAAAATGGGATGAGCGGTTTTTGATTTCATCAATAAAATAAACTGCTGTATTGATTCTTTTTTTTGAGTCAGACTATACCGTACCATCTAAAAATTTTCAGATAAAGCGAGGCTGTGATTAAACACGTAAGCTTGTGCTATCCTTACGTGCGCTCATCACGGTCTCCTTTAATCTGAAAAGTTTGGGATCATACGGTATAAGCAATTTCAAAAATATTAATGCATTGATAGACCACAAGCCACAAGTATATAGGCTCATCATATTTTAGACAGTATATATCACGCAAAATTTTGAGACGATGTCATCAAGTTTTTGAGGGGAGTAAACACCCAAATTTTGATTAACGATTTATCGTGCCTACGCCCTACGAAATCCTTAAAATGTTTGTAGTTTTGCAGTTCCTATGTAAAATTGTAAAATGTTAATGTTATCCTAATTAAACTGTTTCACTTTATTTATTAGTAAAAACACTCCATTTCCAATTTATTCGAAATTTTTGTCATATAACCTTACGTAGGGGAATGAAAATAAGTCTATTCATTAAAACAAAAGTCTTAACTGCCCGTAACAATTAAAGTGTCAGTCAGTTTACAATGATCCTATACATACAACTGATACCTAAATTATGGCATGATGTGTTTCCTATATAGTCCAGCAAAAGATAAATGCAAATCACTCCAATTATGAATATTGCCGCTGTAAAATCTCCAGTTGCTTTCGAAGCTGTAGCCTGTGTAAAGCTGTTAAAATGTAAAAATTAGTCGCTACGCTTGTATTTTTCAGGATTGTATTTGTTCTCAAATAAATGCATTCCTAATGCGTACTGGTTTTATTGCAGGTTTTAGTCTAAAGAACTAAATATCCCTCATAAAATAACTGACGGCGTTTGCATTTATCTTTTGCTGGACTTTACATATGTTCTAATTTTGAATTATTTTTGATCACTCATCAGCTTTCTTCAAAGACCTGTCTAGAGTGGGAGGAAAGAAACGCGGGAAAAGTCGAAATCGAACTTCATTAAAAACTTCCTACATAAAATTTGATCAGATGGCGGCGCTCTGATGCACCACGTACGATTACCAGCGTCTCGGGGAAAACCCGTCCCTGGATCTGTAGATGGTTAATCATCGTCATGGAAAAGCTGTTAAAGCTGTTGCAAACACTGAAGTGCACAACAAAAGAATTAGTAGTAAAATACACGTAATAACCCGCCAAAAACTAATTGCTGCTTTGTTTCATACTTGTTTATCAAAATTATGCAATGACACTGAAGAACAAGGATCAGATTGTGTTTGGATAGTGTTATATCTTACCTAGTGTTATTCTCATAATAACAAAAATTGAATAATCTCTGTCTAGAATATAACACCAAATTATAGAATTATTTTGTGTAGCGTAAACTTTCCTCTGATCCTTCAATTATTCCAAAATTATTAAATAATGAAAAAAAAGTCAGTTTTTCCGTAGTCCCCACAAATCATATTCATAAGTAATAAAAATACTGTAACCTATAGAGAATACATATGAAATGTAGCATGCAGTACTTATGTAGTTTCTCGGTTTCTGTTTGTCGTCTGTTGACTGTTTTGTGCTTCTGTTGCTTCTTTTCAAGTGTGCTTTAGAATTAATATGAAAATAATGATGCCCATAATGTCAACCAGAACGTTATACTGCAGTAGTATTATTATTGTTGCAGCCTACTTTAGTTTCCTCCAAAAAGTTGATGACTTAAAAAATATTGATTAAGTAAATCGTTACTAAAAAATATACACTGCGAAGGTGCATTGTTTGCAGCTCAGTATCACTATCAGCGTCTTTGGATTAAGTAAAACAAATTTTTTATTCAATAATTTTAACATCTTAAAACTACTGATTGTCTCTGTCAGTCCTATTGAAACATCACCTGTTGATTTTGCTTAAAATGTGTCAATTGGTAACAGTGGTTGATTGAGAACGGCTTATCATGGTTAAAAAATTGTCTGAATATGAACGTTGCCAAATTTACGATCAACAAGTAGTGTTTCAATAGAAATGACAAAGACTGTACATATGATACCTAAAAAAACATACATATAAATGAATCGAATATCATTCTTTTATCGATTATTCACAGGTGGTTTATCCAGTTTCTTGAAAACGGTACCGTTATGACTACTAGTGCGTAGCACTTATCGAAATTAAAATATGTATTTAGTGTACCAAATAGTTGACGACACCATTAAAAAAAATAATCTTTATTGATAGATCCACTCTAAGAAGTAAATTAAGAATGGTTCTTAGGCAGTATTTTCGATGTGCTTAATAAGCGAGGCAAATGAACTACCACTAATTAGTAACTAGTTATTTGTTGAAAGTGGCATTTTTTTTTTTTGGAATGAGGTGATAAATTTTTCTTGGCGATATATTGATGTTTATACATATGTACAGAATAACACTAGCAATTTTATTGTTCGTTTTTCAAAAAATTTCAAATTAAAAAAATGTTTATTTAATGTTTATATGTACATATACGTTAGTTATGTAGATCAAAAATCAACATGACCATAATACAATGTTCCAGATAAAAATCTGTAGTCTTATATTTTGGCAATGGATAGGAATATTGAAATTCTGTAAACGCCATTGTTTTTAGCTTGAATGGGAAGCTTAGTTTCGTACTTTGAAATATGACGCACATATAACGTTGCCTACATTTTATTAAATTGCAATCTATATTTTTTTACTAGATTTTGATAGATCATTAAGTTCCGATTAAAATTTTATTTTTTATACTCATAAATTTTATTTTATTTAAATTAAAGACCGACGTGTTTTACGTCAATGTAATCGTAATTTAACGATCTATCAAAATCACTTGAAAAATATAAACGTTTAAATTTATCGTGGATATAGAAAGCAAAACAAATTTTTGATAATTTTTCAAAAGAATTCTTTTCGGTTTCGATGATTCAATTTCACTCAACCAAAACTGGTTTGAAATTTATAGCGCATTCACTACGAATCTTTTAACTTTAGGTTAAATTTAAGGCGAACGATTTGATGATTTTTTTCGATTTCGGTGATACAAGTTACACTCGTCTCAAAACTAGTTTTAAATTTAGTGCCGCGTCAAACCGGCCTACGATTACAAAGACCACAGTCTTTGAAGCTCCAACTTTTTAGAAGACAAATATGCACGAAAAATTTGACTACAGGTCATACGGAACGATATATGAATATAATTACGGTACACATTTCTCATAACCAAAAGTAGAATCTATCACCTGTTGCTTTACAAAATTTTAAAAGTTTTGACAATGACACTTCAAAATTTCCTAAATGAACAACCTCTATTTTGGTATCTCAACGTTTTAATCATAATAACAATTCATTGTCACACTTGGTGGTTGATACATATATTGCCATATCTCTTCATTCTGACCAGAGTTGGCTGCAATTGAAAAGTTATATGTTAATTTTAAGTGAGTAAATCTTTTTCTTATAATATACAATAGGTAGATAGTACTGTTAATTTTCAATGATACAAAGTTTAATTTTTTAAGACAAATTAGAAGCTGCATTTCCACTGCTTATCTTATTCATTTAATTATATAACCATAGTGAGGTGCAATGCTATCCAAAATTTGTTTTAATAGAAACATATAGGCATACGGTTAATTTAGTGACGTGTGATTTACCGTTTATGAAAACAGTTATTTTACCACCATTCACTCAAAAACAAATTGATATCAATCCCAAGAAGAATTCGCTTTTACTCTTGCAGCAGTGATTTTGTATTTAAATATAGCTAATAATAATTACAAAAACGTATATTACACTAAAAACGATCAAATTAATATATTATTTTATTTGTCCTCATTTTACTAGGTCTTTTTACGCAAATATTTTACAATCTTTCTGCACTATTTACTATCATGCGGTATTTGTTGAAACACACTGTTCGACAAATCAAAATCTTGACGTGGGCTGTAAATTAAAAGGATGTTTATTTACCTCGGCAAGCACTTGCTGAAAAACGATAGTTTAATAATTACACAAGGATGTTTTGTTGATTTGCGACTGCAATTTATACGTTCCACAAATGGTACAATACTTTCCACGTTAACATTGTTATCTTTGAAACCCTGAAACATATTATTTAGTCCAATTAGAATAAATTTATCCCATTTTAATGCTACTCAAGAATCTGACACGAAGAAGAAATTTAGTCAATATTCTTGAATGAATGAATGAATAATTAAATTTCAATTAGGCATTATTCTGTACTTCTATCGAAGAATTTGTATTTTATTAAAATTTTAAAACAGCCAGTCTTGTAAATAAAAGCCATAAAATTTGCACGTTTTTTCAATATAGTGTATTTATTATTATATCTTATCCATTTTGAGATAGCTTGATCGAATTTTTCTAACAAATTATGGTTAGTGTTTTCCTTATTCGCAACAATCGTAAGGTTCACTCGACATTTATGGATTCGGCATTTTCAAAGATTATCTGTCTAATATTATAATCAGAATCACCGAGTGGAAGTGCTGTGTCGCGTCAAGGAAATATGAAATTTAAGAGATGACTATTGCAGTAATGAATTTTCATTAACAATCGTTCGAAGAGTAAAAGATCATATATTATTAGTTTTTAAATGTTAAGAACAAATTATGTAATTTAACCACATGTTTTAAATGAGGATTTTCACTATCAATTGAGTTATAAATGTAGTCCTAAATTCATAAAGTAGAAAACATATGTTCTGCTTACAAGCTACCATAATAAAATAGTATCGACATGAGTGCGACATAGTTAAAAAATTGTTATAAAAAACACACATTTGTCACTTCAAAATTGTGTGATAACTTTAATTTCGCAGTTAATATCGAATTCCTGTCACCACTAAAATTCGAATAACATCGTTTACAACTTAGGGCATTTATTTGTTTAATGTCCTTTTTTTACTTTTAATGTTTTTAATGGATACGTCAGCTCTGAACTAACAATAATAATCAATTCAGGATTCTGAGAGAATTAAACAGATCTATATAAACAATTTATTTACTTTAAATATTTTCTGGAAACAGTTCTAAAAAATAGAAGTATATTATTATTCAAATGCAACCAATTTCGGTCTCAGGGAACATTTCGATATCACCAACTGTTTGCTCGGTATTGCAGTTTCATCTGTACAAGTATTAGTATCTCAACTACAGTGTTTAAAAGGTCCGTGATATTAATCTTTACGATAAACTGAAACATCTGTTGATGGAAACTCTTTAGACAGTCCACATAAGTAATGTTGAAAATTTGTTGAAAGATTTAATAGTTATGCCATAGACAATATTTATCATCAAAAAACTCTCACATAAAGAGTATACGGTTAAGAAATGAATAAGACAAGTAAGAGATCATATAATGCGACTTATTTCAACAAAAATTAATTATTCTAAGATGGCATCAACTTATTGGTACAGAAAAACCGACAATGTTTGCTTAACGTTTTGCCATCTTTGAAACATAACTGTTTAAAAAATTTTCATGCAAAAATAAGACAACGAAATCAAAAAACTGTAGTGTAGAGCGGCAATGGAAAACACTATAATTGAAAATTCTTGAAAGTCAATATAAAATTTCCCTTACCTGTCGTTAGAAAAATAGGAACACTGGTGATCCGTTGATTCCCGCGAAACTTGTAAATTTTCCACACCTATGTACGTAACTGTTCAAATTTAATTTGATATAACGAATGGTTGTACACCATCAGAAGAATGTGTACACTAACCGACAACACACAAATATAACAAATACACACACACTTTAAGAGACATTAAATGAATTTTTTTGTGTTTAAAAAAGGTCTTATTGTAGCTGGAAATTTCCGCAAACTGAAACTAAATCAAAAATGCACCTATTATCACATCAAAAAGTACGATTTTATCAACATTTGGTTGCTTTGAATTTTTTTTGTCACTGCTGAAGAGTAAGTGTAGGTTTCCTGGAAGTTTCGCCAAGTACTGACCGTTCAAGACGTAAAGAGCACTATTTAAGGTTTTAATGTAAATGACATTACGGTTCAAATGAAAAAAAAAAAAAAAAAAAAAATAAACGCTCATATATTTATTAATTTTATATCTTTTTATATATAACAATACAAATTTAATAAATCACCATTGATTTCCATTTGTTATATCTATTTGTAATTTTTATAACTTTCCGATCAAATTTCATTCACTTTGAACAATGTAGTATTTTTATTGGTGTGTTTTGTAAAGCAAATTCGAATCAGTAACAAGTATTTGTCGTTTTTTTTTAAATCCAGTTCCAGTTCAAAAACACAGTAATAAAATCAATGTTTGTAATTTAATTAACGTTATTTTTACCGTATACAGTTTCTAATAAGCAAAATGAAAAACTAATACAAACCTGTAACACGTACAATACAATAAAAGTTTCTACTTTTTCTTTTCTCAAACGTTTCCTTGTTAATCAATTCACGACTAATCAATTAATCGTATTTATTTGAGTCGGTCTTTATATTTTCCAATTTTTTGTCGAACCAATTGTATTAATTTTACTCTTTTTGTATCTACACGAACAGAGTTTGTTTTTAAAGCACGGAGCTTGGTATTGTTCAATTCTGTGCCGGTACCAGACATTGTTCGTCAGGGAAATCAGTGGTTCCGTTAGAGAAACGCACACGCACTCTTTACTTTACTTTTTCAATTCTCGATTTCAATAAATAGAGGTTTACATAGAAACACAATTATCTACTTACCGTGATCACTCCTGCAGCCAAACAACTTTTCCAGTTCCATCCTGTTCAGAGCACGATTCAAATGTAAAAGCTTATGTGGTTGTAAATATTATAATACCCAATATAACGTAATTAAATGAAACGCTACGCTTGATTCAATAAAGTTTTATTATACTACTGTGGTAAAAAATAATAAAATCGAAATACATTATCGTACATATTAATATTCTAAGTAAACTAACATGCATTCAGTAAACTAAATTTACACATTCATAAAACAGATCGCATAATAATAAATATAATATACAGCCGTAGATCCACAGAGAGCCATATTTTTGTGAACATAAGTGATCCCCGTCCAGCTACTCTACAAGCAGGCATCAGTGCCGCAAAAGTACAATAAAACAACCAGATCGCTCCAATTTAGAATACATAGTTTACAATTTAATTACATAATTCCAAACGGCTCATTTTACAGAATATTTTTACACATGTATTATACAGTTTACAACGTGATAACCAAATGGAATTTACACTTTACACTTGTTTAGTATCTTTACATCAGTCTGAGGCCACATTGCCATCCCAAATTTAATTGGCCATCTTACCTTACTCCCCACCGCTCTATTTTATACTAATAACCATTAATTTCATTAATAGTAAATTTCATTATTCTGTTTCGAGTTACTGTAAAAAAAATCAATCAGGCAAATTAATACTGTCAATCATCCAACGATTGAAGCTGAAAATTTGCTATTAATGAAATTAACGAGTAGAACGATTTTATATGATAAAAATACAATACAAACAATTTCTAAGTACAAAATGGATTATTTTACATTATTACACTATGAGACACTTTACTATATAAATACATGTGACACAATTTAAAAATGATAACATATATACATATCACTAGCGGAAGGGGAGAGATGGTGTACAGTAATCCTTAATAAGTGTACAAGTTACCGACATGGCGTTTGCGTGGCTGTTTGGAAATGTTATGAACGAAACTATATTACATATAATACAAAATGGGTATTCTATGTACACATACCAAAGATGACTGAAGTGTTTTTGTTCTAATACCATTCAAAATTACAAAAAGTTCTATGTACTCTTACAAATATTGAATAATTTTAACACAGATTAGCTCAAAAACACACAATTACACGTAAACAGTCATAAATGCAATAAAATTAATTTAATAATTATTATAATGGAATTTACGAAACTGTACAATTACTATAAATATATTTTATATTTGAATACTTTTATCGAAAAGAAACGTGCTTTCAAATTCTATTTTATTTATTACTAGGTATTATGAACTGTTTAAACTAATGCTACCATATGAGAGAAAATGTATTCGAAACTAGAGTTTTAGTTATTTAAATTAACGACGTCACATTTGAATTATTTCAGAAAAATTAAATCTCTTTTGATGCTATGATCATCAAATGTAGATTTGTTTTTCCTTTCCGAAAAAATTTTAACCGTGAAACTCTACATCAATGTCTAAAGAACTACCTTAAATGCAAGATTGTGTGTACATTAAATGCTCGCAACAAATGCCGTATTGGCTCAAAAAATGTGACGTCATATACGCACGTGTCAATATCTACACTATATAGATACTTTAAATTTGTTCCATTGTTATTTTCAACAATTCGTTTTGAGTTATATCCTCCACACAAAAAAGTTGAGCCAATACGGCTCTTCCTAAAATTTAGTTGCAATTTAAAATTTTAAGCAATTGATCAAAATGTGATCATACAGTTGAAATGTGATAAAAGTGTAATGTGCGGTAATAGAAAAATTTTGATTTGGATGAACTTGAATGATGTCAAATCTATTTCCTGAGGACCTTATCACATTTTTAACGTACTGTTGGGATAATTTGGGGGACACTTAATATTCCTTGGTTTAAACGTTTACTTTTCAAATTTATGTACAGAGTTTTAGGTGGGGAATTTTACAAGACATCCATTTTTCTTCTAAACGAATTTAAAATAAAATTTGAGATTCGTTTCAGAACGCTGTTCTATAATTACACAACTGTTATTACTTTAATAGACACAAATAAACATGCATTATATATGATGAAATTGGTTGCCTTTTGTTTTATAGGCTCACCCTGATGATTAATAACTGGAAATAAATTAAATATTTATAAAGTAACTAAAATGGCGTCTCTAAAGTATTAGCGCATAAAACAAAAGTCAAACAACACAAACGATGAAACTTGATGTAAGACAAATTACATAAATTACAGTTATAATACAGATATTTGTATGTATTCACAATAACATATGAACCTTATAATAAAAAGTCATAATAAAAAAGATACGAAATTAATGATCCATCGATGCAAAAAAAAATAAAGAAACAATACTGGAACCTTGCTGGTGTGTTGAATATTGAACTTAAATTAACACACACAATTGGCCAAAAAATAAAAATATATTTAAAATGGATAATAAACATCGCTCAAATTAAAGCACTCCATTAGTCGGAGGTCCAATAGGACCGAGCTCCCCTCCAATGGAGCCCATAGATCCAGGAGTCTTCATAAAATATTTCTCCAACTTCGCAATTATATGTTTGCCGTAAGTGTACTTTCTCAACGAATTCAGATGAGGCCTGATTTTATGCATCAACACTTTCCGCTGTGTTGGTTCACTCACATCAATCATTTTTTGAACTACGTAATTTGCGTACTGATCTTTCATCATGACATGCAGGGCACTATAAACATAATAATAGTATCAAAATACTGTTATTACCTACTAATTAGCAAAAACTTACTTATCATTAAATCCACAAACTTCCTCAATCAGCAACGCTCTCTCAGCCCTGGTTGCATGTGTAACACACTTTTCGACTACGTTACTGGCAAATTTATGCTGACTTAAAGCTAGAACTTTTCCTCTTACGCTGCTTATCAACTGACCCTTGTCTTCGGGCTTTCCATGTTCTGTAATTTATTATTACAGATATATTAATTAGTAATATATCTCATGTACAAAAAGACTACCAGTCACGGCAGTCAATTCGATTTTAGTCAGGATATAATCAATGCACGAACAATACGGTTTTCAAAACTAACTATGGAAAAAGCTATTGCAATTTATTACAAGGCATTCGAGAAATGCATAACTATTAACATTAAATATTATTATTATGTTTTACCCTACAGTATTTCATATTGTAATTATATGCACGAGATATAACACTGTCTTTTAAAGACGTGATGACATGGTGTGGATAAATTACGATATATTGAGATAGAATTTCATAGGTTAGTTAAAACGTACAATTTTCAAAATTCTTTTTTTATTATTATTTTAATTTGATTCAGTCAAGAGTTTACTCTGGTTTTACTTATTTTTCAAAAAAATTTCATTAGTATTAGTTAAGAGTAAATAAATACAGTATGTCCAAAAGTTTTTGTGTATCAAACATTTTAGTTCCAAAAATTCCAAAATTCGACGCTTTTGGAACAACAAAATTTATAAATCCATATATAACAATCATACAAAAAATTTGCTTCAAATGTAGGGAGTGTATCAAATAGCTCGACTTGTTCATGTGTTTGGGTTCATACTTTTCAAGCAACACACTACTTGAATGTCAGGTGGCTGGTATAACAATGGCAACGAAGCAAAAATTTTGTTTTAGCTTCTAAGATTTTTCAAAAATTTTGAGCAGAGGTCAAAATCCTGACCAGATTGTTCGTGTTTTATTTACTTTTTGCTATTAAGTTAGTTATAAATTTTAGAATCTTCAAGAATTTTGGTCATAAAATTTTGTTGATTGAATTTTCAAAATTAAAAAAAATAAATAAATAAATACATAAATAAAATAAAAAACAGACTTTGATTTTTTTATTCTTCGCACACTGTTATTGTACACAAACGAAGTTTAATACCCTGTTATTTGAGAACAACAAATGCTCGAACAACTTTCCTGATGAAAATGAATTACAAAATGGAGGAGATACGCTCCTGTACAAAGTTTCCAAGTTTGGAATTTATGGTTGTACGGATTAGGGGCTGATATTCTTGAACTCTGAAGCTGTAAAATTATTAATTTATAAACAGTGTGCTTCCAGTGAATATGTGTAACTCAACACAGCTGGTTTTATTTTTTCGTGGCAAATGCCAAACGTTTATTTTTTCAATAAGATGTGTTACGTATAATGTGTTCATGAAGATGTTTTCGAGCATCATTTTATTTACATCCTACGTTGGATGTCTTCGTAGTGTTAATCACGCATTACGGGACACTGCATAAATTCAAGCGAAGAAAATGTTTATCTTTGTAACAAGTGTGGAAGGTAGTGTTTTACGAATACGTTGGTGTAAAGTGTATGAATTCGGAAAATACCTTCATGTTTGTAACAAGAACACTTTTTCTTAAGAATGACCTTTATGACATTTCACGATTAGGAACGTTAAAAATAGATTACGACAACTGGGGTCTTACGCAGGTTCTGCGGTAAATCTGACTAAAATAACGTATGTACAATAAAACGTTTCATACATGCTTGTAGCAATAGGAAATTAACGACTTTGGATTTTTCGTCAAATAAAAAATGATGCATGATCTTTACAGATAAGCAGAAGAAACCTCCACAAAATTTTAGTTCAGAAAACAAAGCTAATGATTGCATTTTTCAATAGATTAACACCGATGAGTCGCTTTCATAGATAAGAACAAACCAATGGTTATATAATTACTGCAAACTTACCCAACACATGCTGGATGACGTAGTTTCCAAACTGGTCCTGGATCAGCTGATCTGTATGCTGGTGTAATTCAGCTAATATGGGTGCAGTTTGCTCAGGTGTGCAGTGTTCTAAAATGCGTTGTATGACTCTACAACCATATGGATGTGTAGACAAAGTGTACACTTGCCCTGAGAATGACTGAATGATGAACTGCAAACGAAAATCCTTAAGTTTCGCTATCGAATAATCAATAAATGTCCATTACCTGTAAAGCATTAGGATCTACGCATTCGATACACTTTTGAACTACATGATTTCCATTTTGATCTTTAACACATTTCAAAACGTGTCCGTCGAGTTCTCGAACTATCTCTTGTTGTTGTTCTGGTGGAATGGATTCGAGAGCTTTCTGAATAACTCGGCAGCCGTACATTTGTAGAGCCAATGGAAGCACGTGTCCTCTAACCTTCTGAGCCAAAGTCGTCTTCTGTTCCGGCGTCCCGAATTCAAAGAATTTCTGTATGACGTAATTGCCAAATACATCAGTCATGAGATTGTACGCTGCCGACAAAATTTCATTGAAAACCATCTGCTTTTCAGTCGCAGATGCGCGCTCCAACTTCTGTTGAATAAAACGAGATCCATGTTGGTCCTGAGAGAACTCCACGATGTGGTTTGCCAAGTCTCTGCAAACAAAAACAGATCTTGGAATCATGTTCTGGCGTAGTCGAAAGGACTTACCTCAATTGTAAATTCGGGTATCTGTTATTTCTAAAGTCCTCGAGCAATCTTGACCTGCCTTGCTGTCCTTTATCTAGCGAACTCGGTACCGTCGATAGTGAGGAATTAATTTTCGTGAATAGCGAATTTGTCGAGCCGAACATAGTATTCGTTGTTAAGCCAGCAGCAACGGAATTTCTGTACTTCGCTTCAGCTCCAGGTGCCGCTGACAGAACGCGGGAAGTCATCAGTCCACCGAGTTGCAGAGGAGCAGACGGTGGCGGCGTCAAGCTTCCTGCCAGAGGGCTTGGACTGCTCCCGATGTTGTATGATGTCGGCCATTTTTGTCTATAATCCAGCGACGGCGAAAATGCCGAAGTGTTGCGATCGAACGAATCACGTCTTCCCGTCGACGTCGTGTTGAGTCCCAGGCCTACAAAATTATCTACATAAAACATTTTAATTTTTCTATTGTCCATTTTATTTCGGCTAAAATATATTTTACAATAAATAAGCTATGCAATGAGGACACTTTCATCAAATTCCTACGAAAATGTTAACCATCCGTTTCATTAATTCTCGCAAAAGACATGTGCAACAATTAATTTTGCATAAAAACGCATCTGCAATTTTTCAAATTACTCAATATGCTACATGTCGAATTTTTACCGCCATAATGTTAATGGTAAGTTATGCAAATTGAGGAAAATATTATCTTAAAATTCCAGGTATAAAAAAAGCAAATATTCACAAGTGATGCAGTTTTAACAACTTTTAAAAATTTGTACATTAAACCATATTGGGTGTCTTGATTTAAAAGTATGTATGTACAATATATGAAAAGTGCCAGCTCAACGACTCAAGTTTCCATGTTAGTATGTAACGGAAGAATGATGTGGACTACATATCCTACCTGTGTGAAGGGACGTAGTTGTAGCGGATGAACCAATATTTCCTAGAGAAGAACTACCAAATGGAGCAGAAGGTGGTGCTGCATGAAGAGGTGGAAACAAACCAGAACCAACACCTTGGGCCACACCTACCCACACCAACCACAGTTAGTAAATACACGCCACAAAAACATACCAAGCTGTTGTATGACAATTATTAATTAATGCTTGCATATTAGATCAACTGTTGATGGGTATGGGAATGTAATTTCCGAGAACATAAAATAATTAACAGCTTTTTTAACACTTGCAAATCAATTTTACAAACAAATGCTGGAAATGTACAGTTTAACTAGTGTTGTATTATGCCGTGTCCTCATCATAACAGATAAACGAAGTTTCATTAGGTTCAATAGTTTTCACTTTTTGGTCATTAAGTTTTGCAAAACAAATTTCTTCAACCAATTTTCGTAGTATATAATTAGTTAAAAAAAAAAAAAAATACTGTGACTTGCTCATAAGAACATCAACGTCAATGTTACAATAATAGGGTTGACAGAACGTGTTATGCAGCCTGGTGAAATTAGCACGCCAGACCCTAAGAAAGTTAATTTTTATGTAGGCAATTTAAGATAACTACTATAAATGAAAACAATAGGCAATGCCACGTAGTATGTAACAATAAATAGTCGACTGTCGAGTACAAACCACTTCTAATTGAAGCATATGAATGTAAATAAATTGTATTACTTTTGGACAAATAACAGCAAGATAAGAAGTTTTAGTGAATGGTATCATTTCCACTTGGTATTCCTAATATTAATATTAATTTATTAATACGATTTTTGAGACATCCTTTGAGATTTCTTGGCGAATCTATATTTACGTATTTTACAACGGATTTTACAGAAATTCAACAGATCATTCCTTAAGTCCCTTTTGGTCTCTCGTTCACATATGTGAAAATGAATTCCTACCATAAACTGCATCAAAATATATTTTCTTACTAAAACGACCACTGATAATTTTAAAAAACGGATTTTGTCGAGTCAATACAATTAATCAAAAATGGTATTGCAATAATAATTTAAAGTTAAAAATAATTTAAACGGAATTTTAATTCAACTGGGAGGTTCTATAGCGTTACTGAAACATTTGCATGTTACCATGCGTAGGAATTTTGTCCCTAGATAAAAATATTAATTTCATACGGGCTATAATCGAAATGCAGTACCGTTTTCTTGGAACAGGCATACGTATACCGAATGTTATCAAAGTTATCGTCTTGTGAAAATAAACCAAGTATATATAAATTTGTCTAGTCAAATAAATTTGAAATTGATTAATTATAAACAGGAACATATTCGTGCGTATTTCACACATTGTATTACAGCATAGACCTATTGTTAACATCGAAAAGTACGAGCAGTTTTTTCTAATTTCAACGAGCTCGATCTTTTAACTATAAATTCGCTACGCAAATGTGGGTATGCATTTACGTATAAGTAAATAATAATTTTTACTTGGCATTTTTTTGTAAACTGATCACCACACGAATGAGTAAAGTAATAAATAAAAGCCTTCGAAATTCTAACCTCAAATTTCAATCGGCAGGCATGTGGGCGAAATAAAAAACTGCTATTGTTAAGAGCAAGAAGTAAAAATAAAGTATCTAGACAAAACTGCAATAACATCGGAATTTTAATTATCTAAAAGAATCGATATATATTTAAAAAATAACTGTGGATATTCCTCAATTCGTCAGCAATTATTTAAGTTGGGGGTTTCTATTTAATGAAAATGTGACATAAAAACATTGCATGCAATGGAAGTATTTTAGTTATCATCATAAAGACCCTACGGAATTAAACTTTTATATTTATTATTATGAGCACGAGACACTAGTCTATTAGCCAAATGTTCTAAGGGGGGTGTTCTGTCTAAGGTTTTATGGCGTTTGAAGTGTTCCCTACTTTATTGAGATATAAAAAAAACATGAAACTGCTGAAACAAAAAAAAAGTAGTTTAATTTAGGTTAATGCAAAACTAACAACGAACTTGTTAGTGTTAAGTAAATATACATAGAAGTCATTTGTAACTGTACGAAGTATGTATACTTAATTTTATTCCAGTAAAACATCAATGTTGTTTACTGTTTACCTTGAACAAATCTAGGCAAAATTAGTAAGATGTTTTAAATAGATTAGACAGTAAATTTAATTTCTACTTCGAAAGTAGAAAGTGACGCTACTAATTATCCACAAAAAAAAACTCGTTTCCAAATAATTCATTATTGATATATTATATGGATTCATCACCTAATTTATGAAAAAATAAGGACTAACGATTAAACTGAAGAAAAAAAAGATCATCAAATTTTCGAATTGAAAATGAAATGTTACCAAAAAAAAAAAAGTAATATTTTTAGTGTCATTAACGTTCCATTGAATCAACACCACATTCCACAGTAAATATGTATGAGCTTTTGTTATTCAAAATGTACATATAGTTCAATTTGATATGTAATTAAATAAAAATAAATGGGAAACAAATTGACACACAATTCAAAGCTGTATCTAGCACATTGATATTCAGTGCGACTTCATCAACACTCCTCGCCTTCTTCAACGAAAACGTAACAATTATTGTGAATAATTTAGTTTTGTTGTTAAATAATAAAGTCACAAATCAATATACAAGCACGTTACTACTTAATCCTTTTTAACGAATGGCAAATTACTTTAGCATACATGGACTGCTAACGAACAAATTTGCAACGTAATCTTATATGTTTTTATTGTTTCCGAAAAAATTGCAGAAAATGACAAAAATCTACAATCAATATCATGTGATCACTGATCACTATACTGGAGAAAACAATTGAACTGAATCGTGGACTGGTTCATATTATTACTGGAGTCTCAAATTCCAACTTCCCTTCTCTAGTGGAACGGGAGATATGAGCGAATGGTTATTATGTGTGTAACCAAGGTCAGAAAGATGTATTTAAAACATTTCCTGATATCAGTCAACCAATTTTGTCACTTGTCAATATGGATCAACCATGAAAGATAAGATTACACACCACATGGACAGCAAACAACTTGGACGAATAATACAGAAAGTAACTTTCGTTAATCTTTTTTAAAAAGCGGTAAATTTGTTTATAAAACTGTTTACTGCTCAACATAGTTGGTTTCTTTGTTAAGCGACTCGTCACAGCACTGTTCAAAAGTTTGTCTGTTTTCTTTAGAATATCAAACACCTATGTAACCACTAACCAAACATTTCATGCAATAAAGTCTCTAAATTTAGAAAAACTGTATAGTAGAGTTAAAATTACATCCACATTTATCGGTCACCATAGATGGTTTCGCCTTTCAACTAACAATGACATGTTCCTGAGGATTTATTTATCGCAAGTTTGACACTTGACGATGATTTTTACCTATGCGTATATTCTTGACAGTCGGAAAGTGCATGACCCGTTCAATTTCGTAGTCGGCATACCGTCTGATGAACTTAAAAATGGTTACGAATGTTTAAAATTAGTAGGAAGCGTAGTTATTTATACTTTATTATTGCGCACTCCGAAAAAAATAAGATAAAAATAATTAATAAGAACTTAATAAACACAACAAAATTTTAATGTAATTGTGTGACTAAATGAGCAAAATCGAAATACGAACAGTGAGAGAAATATGCTCAAGCGGAACCTGTTCTGTTTTACCTTCATACACTGCCAGACAAAAAAACCCGGACACTTATAACTTTACGCTAATGTTTAGTGTTATATATATTTTTTTTGTTTCCACGTTTTAAAATAAAGTTATGTTTTCTGTTCATGAATACCTTAATGTTTTGCTTTGTGAAATATTTTTTACAAAAGTTCGACAAATTGCAGGTAATTACAAAAAATTCGAGTGTCCGGTTTTTTTTTTGTCTGCTAGTGTATTTATTTATTTCATACATTAGTTGTCGGCAGTTTTCGTTGTCAGTTATTTAGCAAGTTCAAATTTTATTTTTAATCTCAAATTGATATCTTCTTACAGGCTGCACCCGTGGACATGGAGAAAAATGTTTTGCTGTATTCACTACTTTTAATAAATATAGAACAATCATCACTTCAGTTTCCCCGTACGACTTTTTTTAATGTTCAGTATGTACCAACCATTATCAACACCAAATTCGTTTTTAAAAACTACTCTCAACTCTATTGTTTTAATATTTTCTTGATTACGAAAAGATTGTTCGTTTGTTTTCATATATACAATGTGATTTAATAGACCCACGACATTATGAAGGATAAAACCAACCAAACCAATGACATATTCAGTCGGATATGTCTTATATAAAAGTGTTAGTATTAATGATGGCCCCCATGAGTTTGTTAGAACAGAGCAACGTAACCCCAAAAATGTGTTTGTTCTTTTTTGTTTTGTTTTAAACTATTACATAATCTGCGCTCTTATCTAGAGAAAGGTACAGATAGATTACGATATTCAAAGAAACTGCAAATACAAATAGCCAGCTCTAACATCCAACAATGTATCAGATGTTTTCGTTTTTTTTTTTTTTTGATAAATTGGTATACAACCAAACTAAAACATGAAGTAGTAAAATATATAAAAACACGAATCAAAAGTGTTAGTGGTTATCGTCCAACTACGCTTCCGTTTGTTAACCTCAAACGAATTTGTATTTTTATTACTGTATAAAACATGAAAAAAATAGAATGTTGGGAGACGGTATCCGGAAGAACACTTTTGACTCTAGTTGTGTATATTATTTATTCAATTTACTATTAAACTTAGCTTTCACCGTATACTAATATCTAATATGAGAGTTATCGTCTGAAAAACAAAGCCTAGAACAATCGGTATATTCTGCTATTGCAGCAATCATTTGAAATATTACATGTTTATTTATCTAAAATCTGCAAACATGCAATAGTATAAATATTTAACTTATTTCGGCTTTCTTAAAAAATGCAAACACCGTGGAGTTATGTATCTGTTTCTAACCCAAGATCACAACTTACAAAATTCACATACAAATATACATAATTAAAAGTGTACAAGCTAAATGAACCTACCTCCTAAAGTCCCACCGTTCACTGAAGTATTCACATTAGCACCATACAAACTCTGGGGTGTACTTGAATACAGGGAAGCACCTGCCGGTGTTTGTCGATTGGCTTGTGGCTGAACAAGTACAGGAGCAGGGCTGACCAAACGCATAGGCGTACCATTTCGCATTGCCGCACCCTGTGCCATAAGGATTGGGGTATTTTGATCATAGTAGGGAACAATGTAACCTCCAGGAACTTGTGGCTGTAAAATAAAAGCACCAGAATTTATTACAACATTTACTTTTAAAATTCAAAGAGACTGTTAATATTAGCCTTAAAATGTGACTCTATACACTGAAGAGTTATGTATGTATGAAAATGTCCGAAATAATTAAATTTACCACTGAATGAACTATAAAATTGGTTTCTTAAGTAACTTCACAGTTACCTTTTAAAATCACTTTGATTTTTCACTTCTGACTCGTGCGACCACAGCTTTCACATTCGACTTGTCTGTGTTAACAAGTTTATTTCGGAAGCGGTAAAAAAGCTGTGATACAATCCACCGGTAACGAAAATCCGAATCTTTATTAATTTGAGTATTATTAGAACGGGAGATTCTAAAAACAAATTTATTTTGGACCATGTCCTCTACACGTGAAGCATGAATAAATTCTTAGAATTAAATGACGATTTCTAAGATTCTTAGTTTAAATTTGGTCGAAAATTAACCACCATAACGGTTCCAGATTGATAATGACACAACCGACTTTTTTCTGGTCCTACTTTACATAAACTTTAGATGAACCCGCTGCCTGCTGCTACCGAAACATTCTCAACACTTCTGTGTAGCAATTTAAGACTTGGTTAGGTAGAATTTCATTTCCACCACAACAGCGAATGATAACAATCATGCCATTTTCACGCAACTTTTTTAATACTATGCAAAAATGAAACGCAAAACTTCAACTGAATTCCAGAGTTCACAAATTTACATTGCAAAGTCAGTTTAGAAAATTTAAATGAAACTACAAACTGCAACATTTGTGTGTTTCTACGAACAGTGTATTACCAGAATTTAATCACAAAACCTCAACAATGTTTGCAATAAGTAACGATTCATAATGACTCAGCGGAAATGACACCAAGTTACTAAGTTACGATCCTATGCTTAAAAACTGTAATAATATAAAAATATTTTTATTCAGTATAACCTTGGCGTACTGATCTGATACCACAATAAAGGAAAATCCGATCAAATAAGTGAAGCATACTTGTCACACAATATGAATTGATCCCTTTATCTGTACATTACAAAATGTTCTAGGAACTGTATCCCCTGTCATATAGTAAATATCGATAGTTATGTACTTGAGTGACGATCTAACTCTTTCAACAGTATCGTCTTATTAATTCCAAAATATTGATCGGCTAGTTTCAATTTATTTTTATTAGAATGCCCAACATATTGAAAAAAGTAGATAATTTCGTCCACTCACTATAGAAAGTAACGATTACATCCCTTTTATAGTAATGAAACTGCAGCTATTTGGTCAGGCATAAAATTAACGCGTACACAGGTAAATATCAAGTATAAAGCTTAGAAAAACATTCTTCAATTCATTCCGTGTAATAGGATCAAGAAATAGATACACAATTAAACGATTTGTGACGCTAATGCGAGTTCAGCGAAAATCTAGACCAACGGAAAGGCAGTACGGTGGTTTGTTGCAGCGCTTCCTTAATGCGTGGATTATACTATGCTTATGTAAAACCTATTCATTACTTTACTTGTATCTTAAATAAAAACTGCATGAATGCTGTTTTAATTTATAAACGAGGAAGCAACATTTGTGCGACTTGAACAAGTATTTTCAAGTTATATCGAGTACACAAATAAAATGTTCTCGTAGAAAAACGTCTGTCAAATATATAAAAAAAAGAATGTATGATGAGATCATTATTTAAAGATGTTTACTGTTAGCAGCAACTGTCTCTTGAGAACGCGTAAAATAAAAATATTATCGGTTATATAGCAAAACGTACTTAAATACATCATAAAGTGATCGGATGCGGATTCTTGGCCTCCTTATTTAAAGGTCCATTTTGTGTAATATAATTTCTAGTTTCAAAATAACACCATCTAACCAAAAATACAACTTTATAAAGAATTTTGTCAAATCGCTACAAAAAACTATAGAAACTAATTAAAAAAATATTTACATCATATAAACATGCGTATGTATGTGAAATAAGTCTGCAGAAGAATATCTTCTATATTCCCATTCGAAAAATATACAATAAAAGCTTTGTATCTTCTCGAAGACATACCAACAATATCCCGCGATAAAATATGACAGCGTCGTTTATTCTCGCGTTCTGACTACACACCTTGATTCCCCGAATACAAAACGCGCAAAAATAACCTCACAATCGTCCCATTCTTCTAATTTACAACTCGAAAATTTTGCATCAAAGACGTGTCGTATTCATATACGTATTCCTTAAATTCATCGTCAGCATGCGTAAGGTATCATCAATATAACGGGCTGTCCCAAAAACAAGAAATTCAACGTTGAAACCGTTATGCAGTATAAATAACACCGTTTCCTTAACTGATCAATAACTAAAATACACATGAGAGCGAGTAAAAAAACTACATGTAGCTTACTTGTACTTGTTGTTGTGCTTCAGCTGTGCCATTTGGAGTAAGAGGTCTTCTGGCTCCATTACTGGCTCCTTGTTGAATTAAATTTGCCGGTGCTGGATACACCCACGGTCCAACACCATAATATTGCGGAACACCGGCGGTAATGAGGTAGGAAGGTTCCTGCTGGTGGTTCAAAACATACGGAGGTTGAGGAAATGCTGCCTGCTGTTGTTGAGCCAGATACTGCTGCTGTTGTTGCTGCAATAACTGTAACTGTGCAGCACTCGGAGTAGCGGCCTGTGTTTGTTGAGATCGGAAGAGTTGCTACAAAAAAAAGCAAATAAATATGCTATTCATCTTGCACAAAATTGGTACTTTCGTACTTTAAAAGGTCAACTTGCCACAAAATAAAAAAAGTATATTTATGATATAGCAAAACAAGGACGGAGTAGACATAATTCACTTCAATGATTTGAGTGTAAATCTTATAATTTTCCACTTCTGATTCTTTGTCTGTAGTACTGCAATTTTTTTAACAGTCGCATTTTCAGACAAATAAGGTGGAATTTTACTTTGAACGCTAACAAATGTCTGCGTAAGAGGTTGCAACATTACCTTGTAGTCGAAGCGGTAAAAATAAACTTTTTGTGACATTATATTATAAACCCACATTTTGATGTACGTACACATGTCGATTTATAATGAATAATCTCGTAACTGCTACTACCTTTAAACAAATACGAAAATAATGGACTCAATTACGCATGTACTTTATCTATACATCATATACTTTTTATCTACATATATACTTAGTTGTTTTAAGGAAATAAACGTCTATGTTGGGCACCGTAGCGATGGAATTAGATGTAATCATGCGAATGTTGATTATTAAAAATTAACGGAACTTCTCGAGTTTATCTTGATGTTCCATATTTAATTAACTCTGAGGAACAGTAAACAGTGTTAGTTTCTTATAGTTTATGTATCAGTTACAAGAACATTCTACAATATACAAAATTAGAAACTAAATAATTCAAACTGTTACAGTGCGTGCGTTATGTCCATTTTGCGCATAAATAACTTCGCACATTACTTATTTTGATTACGTGTCGATTTAAATGAACTGTTTTCATAATTGATCACGTAACTGCAATGGCGACTGCAAGACAATGCTCGTCAAAAGATCAAAAAATAAACTGGATCAATAAGTTTAGTGTCTTCAAATGTATGCCTGCCTCAAGCTTCTATATCGAACCAGCATTAAAACAATGTAAATTCACTTGAGTCGAAAAAAAAAATTCAACACCGTCCAATAAATCACGGAAAGTTCATTCGCCTGACATATTTATTCCAACTCGCAAGGCAGAAGAAATGTGTAAGGTAAACAAGAATTACACAGACAATCCGTACCTACAAGTGTATTAGTTCGTTATAACGGTATCGTGGCCGCAAAGAAATGCTTCCTCATCAACCGGCACAGAGCAATGACTTCGGGGCCTAAATTACCATTCTAGAATGACCAAGTTAAAAGACACTCGAAACCTAATCAGCTATTACGCAATAATTATATGCATACAAAAGTCACTTAATGGAAGTTCAGTTTAAATTGAAAGGAAATAATTTATAGTTCATTACAACTTGCAAGGAGTGATTATGGATCAGAACAATGGCGCCCCTGTTAAGTTTCAAATTTAACCCCGAAGCGAGTCTAAAGCTAGTTTCGGTTGCTGCTACTGTAAATATGCAAGGCTTCGTTTACTTGGGTGATACCACCTACTCCCAGAAAGTCAATAGCACACATTGTCATGTTACTTTTTTGTAATTTCTCGATTTATTTAACATTACTCTGCTACAGACGTTTTATTATGTTTTACTTAAAATATAAGGTACAAACATGGCAAACTTATCGCTTCGCCACCTTTAAAACGGAGACGGAAATCCACAAAATGACGTAAATCTCTCTAAATAAACTTTTTTTCGCATATTTCCCAACAAAGACTTATTATTACTTTTCCTATTCGTGTTCTATTCAACTTACATCTAAAATCAATAAAACTTGAAGTGTTCACAGTTGAAAACTGCAGCCAGTACGGTGCAAACTGAAGAAACTGCTTTATTGTAGAAAAATATAAACTTAATAAAGCAGAACACTACTTTTTTAAAGTATTTTTTCGAGGTGTCGAAATGCGGTTACCTCTAAAATGTCCACTGGCGAATCAAACTTCCGTATTTTACAAGCCAATACGCGGTGGGCGTTGAATTATAAAAAATGTACCGTTTTTTTGCACAGCAGTTTCTAAAAATTTAAATAAAATCTATGTCATATGTTAAAGGGATGTGGTATAATGAATTTTATGCAAAAGAATACTATATAATTTTGTAAATTAAAATTTGCTGAGTGATCTAGAAAGCGTACTCATGAGTACGCTCAATACTAAAGGAAAGTAAAACACACTCTATTACGATGGCAAAATGTCCGAATGAACAAATTAACACACCATGTAAGTACCCAGTGTAATTGTACATACAACGAAATTAGAAAGTTCCAACTAGATCCATGCTAATTTTCATAAACATATTCATGAGCTATAATGTAACTGACAATTGCATTCTTATTTAAAAACAAAAACAAACGCCCACTTGTTCACCCCGGTTGCAGATAAATGAGAAAAGCGGCAAGCTTTGATGGGACTACGGTTAACCACCAGTCGACTAATGGGTGGTTGGTATGGACAGTTAGTTGGCAGTAAACTTTTTCGTTTTGCTAAAAAAAATGCCGATTTTTCCGTTGTTTTCAGGATAAAATACGCACTCAGTACTAGTCTTTTGTCTATTTTTTATACCACTGCATGTCTGGACGGTGGCTGTATTTCTTTTCGTACTACAAAGGGTGATAAATTTTTATTGTCTCGCTACTGGGATCTTGAAAACCATAAAAATAATGAAGTCGTTAAAATTAGAAAAAAGTGGCATTATTGAGCGTTGATTAACCAATTCTATCTCTAATAGATTTAAGTTATAAATATCAACTTTTTGCTTTTCAGATGCAGACTGTGATGTTTTTTTTTTTTATTATTAAATAAATATATTTTATTGATGTATTTGTAGCAACTGGTAATCCAGCGTTACACACATTCACCTACCGTTTATCAAAAATTTATGTTATATATACAAATTACACCAATGTTTCAATTTTTTCATCGTTTGTACATCTATGTATGTCACAAATTTATAAAACATTTTATCCATTATGAAAGCGATTTTTATGTTTATCAACATTATACTTAATCTGATAATTGAATCACAGTAATTTCGAGAAATGTTAGTCTTGTAATTTTAACTAAATGTTACTGTGTTATGTAAATGTTGTTACCGGACGATGTGTATTTTTTTTTTGTATTTACACAAAAATGTAGCATAGTATCCACAACTAACAACACACACATATAAATCTAGTAGGCTCGGATTTTTTTCAAGGCCTATTATTAATTAAATTGTAATAACGGGACTTTCTTAACTGAAACAACCTCGTATAGTTCACGGTTTTTGATACTACAATTGTGAAAACATAACAATTAACCACCCTCTTACCATGTCAGTGTCTGCATTACTAAAATTTGGAGAACTGTGTAACTTTCTTTTTGGTAGAACTGATGAAAACCTAGTCTAAATATTTACGAAAGTTTTTTGAACAAGCATGTTTTTTTCTCTCAGCCACTCAATTAAAGGGTTAATAATATTAATCTGTATCGTTATTTCGAAAACTGTTATATAAAAAACTGACTTATATAATAAGAAATCATGCTAGCTTGTGTGCATTAACCATTAAATTATATTAACATTTTAATAATGTTCAAGTGTGTCCGACATTATAAAAGAAACTCCAAGATCATATTTTATACATCAGTATATCCCGTCTTGTAAAGTTTTTGTGGTATAAGTGTTGAATTTTACGTAACAGTCATTTATATTTGATACTTTGCAATGTTTTTAAGAAAAACAAATCTTCTAAATTCGCCGACATCTACTTTTAACTCGCCTTGCCTCATGATTAAAAAGGAACTTTCTTTCTTATTAACTCCAAGCAAATCGTTTTAAAAACGAATTGTCTAAAAAGTAACCTTGTTCACGTAAATTGGTAAAGTTATTGTATAATACAACCGCGATTTAAACTTGACATTAAAAACCTTGAATGGGTATTGCAAAGCGGTTATTATTTCAAACTTTTATTACTTTCAACTATTGCAAATTTAGGAGATTTAAATTATCCAATCTCTACTGTACGTTTTCCTAAGACAATTCGTGTCCACCGTTTCAAGTTCTTCACGAATTTGGATTATCTAGAACTCAAGACCTACCTAATTGACCTTAATTGCAAGTTTTGTTCATATAAGTAATATAAGTTAAATTTTGGGGAATATTCGTTTGCAATAAGTACTTAATGCAACTTCAAAGACTGAAACTTGATAAATGTGTTTACGTAAAAAGCAGTGGAGTTTCTTCATGCAGATTTTGAGGATCCCTAATCATCAAACACATCTATGCGGAACACAACTCTTGACTGCTTTTCCAACACGAAGCTATTATTAGGTGTGTCGTGAAATCTTTGAAGTCACTTTAAACAATCTGTGATAAATTTGCAACTTCACAGTTAACACAAATGTTCTATTAATAGAATGTAGAATAGAGCTCCAGAATGAGACAATTTTAAAAACAAAAAGTATCATGTTTTAAATAAAATTATGTCAGGGGTAGAAACTTCGTAATAACAGCGATGAACTTGATTGAACTCACGACGAATAACCAGAGGAATAACCAAACAAAGAATAGTATTATACGATGGTAATGACCTGGGTCCGTTATTTCTTCGTGAGTTGCTCCACTTTGCGAGAAAACGGTCTTTGAGAATTTCACGATGTAACATTAACGTCAAGCATGCGTACAATTTTTTTTGTTAAATAACGTCGATACGATTTACTGATTTAACAAATTCTCGTGACGAATTTAACCATCATTACTCAATGGCAAAAGTTTTGAGGTAAAATTAAAAATGGGCAAAGTAAGTATTCAAGAAGCGGAACGATGAACAATAGAATAATTTGTTGAAGCTAGAGGGGCATTGAACTTTTTTAAGTCGAAGACGTAATTTTGGACACATACGAAAGAAAATAAGTAAGTTAAAACATAAAATGAATGTTTTTTGAGCACCTTTTTTTTTTGTAAGAGATCAACTTTTACTTACATCCGTCCGCCAATCTAATTTACTGATGAGATAATTGCCTGATTAATATCTACCAATTTATTCACCGTCACAGATCAGTTGC